AATCAGAGAACACCCAGGAAGACTTAATGATAAATGGTGGCAGTTTTTGAAACTGAAGGGTAAAGAAATGAGGAAGCACACAAATCATCTGTCATTTTTTGGGTCCAGACTTGTGATTTCATTTCTGTACCAAACTCCCTCCTCCACCAATGCAGATCAACAGCTGTTCTTTAACTCCTCATTGGAGAGTTTGGTGGGGGCACTAAGAAGTAAAGCCACTCCCCCCAAGGTCACCCTGATTCTGAGGGTAGCTCTTTAACCCTGTGCCATGTTGGCTCTCCTTGTATACAGCAGGCACTTAATGTTTGTAGAATCAAATGTCACAGCTAGATGAGACCTTAGAAATCTTCAAGTCTAAGTCTCTTATTTGACATATAGGGAAACTGAGGCCCAAAGAGGGAAAGGGATTTGGCTAAGTTCTGAATCTCCCAATAGCCACAGTAAAAAACAATCTCTGTACTTCAGATATTTGCAGGGAAAAAAGAAAAACAGCTTCAGATCAAGTTTCCCACTAAAACTGTATTCACATTTAATGGGAAGAAAAATATCTTACAAAGTCAGGTCTACGAAAGAACTCTACTGTTGGGTCTTCAGGAAGGATAAATGACACTTTGCAGCAAAGAAAGCAATTAATCAATGAATAGGCTTCTAATAGGTGCCAGAAATTATTCTAGGATTTGAAAATATAATAAAATATAATAAAAATAAACCAAAAATAGTTCTTTCCTGACACGGGGATGCTAACATGTATATTATGTTACCCTGCTGTCAGGGAAATAGCAGCTGCTGGGGTGGGTAGGGAAAACCAGGAAGGCTTCATAAAGAAGGCCTGAGATGTAAGGATGAAACAAGTAAGTGAACTAGATAGGATTACATTTTTTGGGGGAGAGGGTGAGGGAAGGATCCAGTCCTGCGATTTCATCAGTATGGTTATCTCCTCCACCCCTTCAAAAATACCCCAACTTCCTTCTCCTATAAGCTTTAAACAAGCTATAAGTCACTCAACTTTAAAATCCAGAAAACTGCAAATTACTAGGGAGAAAGTAAAGTCACAACAAGAAGAATTTATTAAGTATTGTACTTAATATATGTCAAGAACTGCTAAGTGCTAAGAATACAAAGAAAGGCAACTTCCCCCCCAAAAAAACCCAACCAAACAAAAACAGTCCCTGCCTACAAGAAGCTCCCAATCTAATGGAGGAGACAGCATAAAAAGAACTATGTGCAAACAAGATAGGGTCAGGATTAATTAAGGGGAATCTCAGGGAAAAGGTGATAACGTTAAAAAGGATTAGCAAAGACTTGAGAAAGAAGGTTGGATTACAGCTAGATCTTAGCTGGGATTTGAATGAAGCCAGGGAATCTGGGAGGTGAGTGTGAGGAGGGAAAGCATTCCATTAAAGAGGCATTTGTTGTGGTTCATTCTTTGTTCTCAGAGGTTCCGATGATATCAGGAGGGTGATGTCTTGACTTGCCAGTGAACTGGATCTAAGTGATGGGGAGCTGCACAAAGTTATCAGCCTCACTTTCTCCTCCAGAGTCACTGCAGTCCAGTGGCAAGACAAGAGTCAAGAAGCCTGGAGATGACCTAGCATGCAGCGGGTGACCATGGCCTTTTTAAATTAAGGTCTTTCCCATCTCTCAGTTTGTCTGAGGCCATGTCACGTGGGAGCTCGGTTTAAAGGAACATAATTTTTGGGGTGCATGGTTTGGAGGCTAGATTTTTTAAATTTTCTATTTATTTTATTATTATTATTTTTCTCAAAAAGCTGGGACAATTTACTCTTTGTTTTGCACAGTTTTCACTTATGATTTCTCAAAGTATAGCTCTGGAAAAGCAGGCTTTAAAAAAGCCCATTGTAGGGGCAGCTAGGTGGTGCAGTGGATAGAGCACCAGCCCTGAAGTCAGGAGGACCTGAGTTCAAATCTGGCCTCAGACTAAACATTTAACACTTACTAGCTGTGTGACCCTGGGCAAGTCACTTAACCCCGATTGCCTAAAAAAAAAAAAGCCCATTGTAATTCAAATAGAGCTACTAGACTATGCCTTTAAACCCAAATTACTCTGGCTTTCATTTAACGGCCAATAATAGGCCTCCAGCCCAAGTCTTTGTTGCTGTCTGGATTATTTATTTGTTTGTTTGCTTTCAGTTATCAACAATCACTTCCATAAGCTTTTGAGTTTTAAATTTTTCTTCTTACCCCTCCACAAGAGGGCAATCTGATATAGGCTATACATACACATTCCTATTAAATATTTTCACATTAGTCATGTTGTAAGGAAGAATTAGAACCAATTCACTGTTTGCGTTTGGTTGGCTTAGAGTGAGGGCAAATAGCAATTGTTGGGTCTCCCCCACCCCAGACTGATATTTTGTAATGGTAAACTGGGCCAGCCATCTTTTGTTTCAATTCTAACCAGTGCTAGTAGGCTATGAGGATAACCAGAGAAAAGGCTGGGGAGATGGACTGTTTTGAGCAAGGGACAGTAAGGAGGCCAATGTGGAATATGAGGAAGGGAGTAAAGTCTAAATGGAGTTCCACTCATCAAAAATAAGAAAACAAAATCTGGCAATCAGAGCTATTTAGCAATAAAATGGGTTCCCTAACTAGAATCTCCAGGTGTGAAAACTCACTCCAAAAATGCTAGTCTGCCACTCCCACGTAAATTACAGTCTTGGCAATTGGAGTTTAAGTGACTCACTCCAAGTCACTCAGCTAATAGGGTAAGAAGTGGGATTAGAACACTTTATGATACAAGAGGCCTACAATCCACTAACCCCACCTATTTATTTTTCTAAATGCTAATAAAGCTAATAAAAAGGTCAGTTACAGCAAATAAACTGCATTTCAAAATAAGGCCATTTGGGAAGGAAAAAGATTTTGATGTAGTATATTGGGTGCTTAATAGGTTTAATATCTTCACATAAGATACTCTTACTGATCTAAACACACTAAATAAAAGGGCCTACTACTTTCAGAAAAGACTGGGTTATTTAACTCTTTTGTAAAGCCCTTTAAGCCCCAGCAATAGACTCTGACAGGAACTTAGAAGATCATCTTTTCCAAGCCCTCTCATTTTACAGAAGAAGAAATTGGGGCCTAGAAAGGGAAGTGACTTAAACAAGGTCATGTAGCTAGCTGGTGCTGATACTAGATTCCAGGTGTTCTGACGCTCTGTCTAGGACTCTTTCCAATAACATGTAAATTGCTTTTTTTTTTCCCTTTCTGAAATACAATTGGAATTTTTTTTCTTTAATATTATTGCCCTTCTATAAGGAAGGTGGGAGTCATAGGAACCTTGTGTCTACCAGGGCTTTCCCTTACTCTTCCTCTTACATTTGGAAGCCTGCTGCTGACTAGGTTCAATCATTGCTTATTTATTTTTATTTTAGGGGGCAATCAGGGTTAAGTGACTTGCCAAGGGTCACACAGCTATTAACTATCTGAGGCTGGATTTGAATTCAGGTCCTCCTGACTCCAGGTCTGGTGCCCTACTCACTGTGTGACCTAGCTATCCCTCAATCACTGTTTATTAGGTAGAATAAGATGAGAAACTAGATGTAGAACAGGCCATAAAAGGCCTGGAATAATGTGCCAGTGATAATAAATGACTGGCCTTGTTGATGGATGTGGCTGTCATATGATATGTCTTCATGATTTCTATTGGCTGATACAGGAACGACTAAGAAGACATTTATTATTGTATCTTTATTCAATTTGTGAATGACATAAAACTAAGGTACAGCTAATATGCTGAATGACAAAATTAAATGTGCATCTTTGGGCAAATGAAAACTTGTTTGGGCTTCAGTTCTCTTCATCTGTAAAATGAAAAGGCTCAGCTAGATGGTCTCTTTGTCTTAGTTCTACCTTCTATAATTACTCAAGAATCAGGATGAAAAAATACCTTCATAGGCTGACTATCTGGGCCAAAACTAAAATTTTGTAAGGATAAATGCACTTCAATTTTAGAATGTTATTGTAGAAGTCCATGTTTGGGGAAAGAAAATAAACAGAGAAGGGATGAAGGCAGAAACAGTGTGCCAATTAAATTTGCACATCACAGGAAGCTGGGAGGGATGGCTAGCATGATGGATGACAGAACTGGCCCTTCCAAAAGGGTTTAGTTGGGCAGAACCATGAGCCAAATCTAAGAAGGGAAAATTTGATAGGAACAAAGGCAAAGTTCCACAGTTGTGTTAAAAAAAACCCAAAAAACAACAACAACAAAAAAACCCCAACTATACAGCAGAGGATGAATGAATGAATGAAAAAGATATGGTAAAAGAGGGGTGAGGAATGGGGTTTTAATGGCCCATAAGCTCACTGAGTCTATAGCGGTAGCCAAAAGAGAAAAACCCAAACAAATCCCAATGAAATCTTAAGTGAAATTGACAGAAGCAAGGTGAGGAATGAGGGGGTTGGGAGACCCATTGGACTCTCTCTTAGCCATGCCATATCTCAAGTGTGATATTCCATTCTGGCAGCCATACTTTTGGAAAGCCATTAACAAGCTGTAGCTCTCCAAAGGAAGGTCAACAGGACAGTGAGCAGCCTAGGAACCATGTCCAAGGAGATTTGGTTAAAGGTGTCAGGGCAAAGATTAGACTTAGGGGGAACTTAATAACTGTCTTCCATTTTTGATGGTGTGTGTGTGTGTGTGTGTGTGTGTGTGTGTGTGGTGTGTGTATGAGGCATTCAACTTGTTCAGCTTGACCTTAGCAGGCAATCCTAGGGACCAAGGAAAAGACGATGAGCCCAAGTTACAGAATCTGGCTGTAGATAAATAAGGAAAAGCTTCCTAATAAAGAGCTGTCCAAAAAGTGGAATGTGATGCCTTGGGAGGCATTTCTCCATCTGTGGGGGCCTAATGGAGGCCAGATAATCAATAGTCAATAGACATTTATTAAGCACCTACTACGTGCCAGGCACTGTGCTAAACACTGGGGATACAAATACACATTTTTTTAAAAAGCCCCTGCCCTCAAGTTACTTACAATCTAATGGGGGAAGATGCCAGATGATCACGTGTTGAAGATGCTATAGCAGGAATTTTTGTTCAGATCCTGGTAACTTTGGAGAGGTAAAGCAATCTGAAATGGGAAAGTGGCATTTCTTAGGCTGTAACCTCTTTAAGCCTCAGTCTCTTCCTATATGAAGTGGGTATTATAATATCTATCTCACAGGGTTGCTGTGAACCTTACTTAACTGAATGGCTAAATACTAGGTTGGGGCCTCTTCTCCACTCTTCTTTTTTTCTTATATCCAATTTTTAAAACTTTTCTTACTTTTCACCTACTCCTTTTTCTCAACCTCTTTTTCTCCCTGTTGGAAATCCTGCACATCTTTCAAAACTCTGTTCATATACTACCTTCTTTAAGAGGTTTTCAATCCCCAGTCTCCTTTTCCTGACCCCAAGTCCAAAGAAACGATCTCTTGAATTCTCCCCACAAACTTTGTATTTATCTTATGTATTTTTCCCAAGCTACTTTGGTTTCCTTCCCTGTACTTTATTTACATATCCCACCTCCCAGCAAGGCTGTAAAAGATATGTTGTGGCCCAGTGGAAAAATGCTGTCACGTCCTGGCTCTCACACTTACTTGCCAAGGTAGCTAGGTGGCTCAACGGATAGAGGGCTGGGCAAACAGTCAAGAAGACCTCAGTTCAAATCCTGTTCTGAGATGCTTGCTTATGTAAACCTGGACGAGCCACTTAAACTACCTCAGTTTCTTCAACTGTAAAGGGGGAATCATAATAGCATCTACCTCCCAGGGTTGTTGTGAAATCAAATAGATATCTGTAAAGTGCTTAGGCACTTAATAAATCCTTCCTTCCTTCCTAATCTTTGGCAAATCACTCAACCACTTTAGGCCTTAGTTTTTTCATTTATGAAGGAGAGGGCTTGACTAGAAGGCTTCTAAAATCCATTCTAGAAACAAACTTTGAGTTTTTGAGGCAAGAGAATCGTCTTAAAGGCCGTCACTGGGTAGGCACTCAAGAAAAGTGTTTGAAATGAATGATTTCTATTTAGATAATGCATGTTGTTATCCATGTTCATATACTCTCAGGATGGAGGACAGGTTGCTTAATTCATTCCTCCCTGACTTTCTCTGGAAAAGTCAATGCATTTCTGACTAGTCAAATATAACGGAAGATCAATTAAAATCGGAAATATTTTTGTAATGTAAAGTGCATAAGTCCTTTTTAGCTTGGAAGCAAAATTCTCTCATCGCTAAACATTAAACATGAATCATGATAAGAACTTTTTGTATTCTCTCTTTTCATGTTTACTATTCAATATTCTTCTTTCCCAGTGAACACGATCTATGTCACGATAAAAAAAAATTCAGATTCGACCAAATTATGAAATGGAGGGAGGAAGAAAAACACGTCATCCCTCTTTGAGACACCTCCAAGCAGATTCTTTTCTGAACCATAATTAAAGTGTACTCTCTGCTGTCATCAAAGAGGATGGCCCATCTCCCAGGTCACTGAACAAAACACAGGGATTGTTGATTCTTGGAGCAGCTTAGAATGCTGTTTACAAGGAAGAATTGTCAGAGTCACTGTCACATCTCTTCCAACAGTTATTCTTTCCCTTTCAAGGGGCAAGAATCTCCAAGCTTAAGAAAAATCTGCTTCCTTCTTGGGTTACTATATTAGTAACCTACAGGCATGGATTCCCAAGTGCAGATTTTCTAGTGAACTTTTCATTTACTTGTAGAGACCAAGAAGAAGAAAACATTATTCTCCATGCCTTTTGTTATAAACAAATGTCAAAATTATTAACCAAGTAAGCCCAAGGCATTGGGTTCATTTTCCCACCTCCTCTACTAACCAACTAATTCAAAACAGAATTCTCTGTAAGTCACGGGATGACACCCGACACAGCACATTACTTAAAAAATTTTTTTTTGGCCTCTCATTTCTCTTCTTGAATCAAAGTAATAGAGAAAGTCTGCCCTCCAGGCCTTGTTCAGATTTTAAGCAATAAATGTTTGGTAACTATCTCTTGTTGATTTCTGGAGTAGTCATCCTCCAAAAGTTTGAAAATGTTTCAGCCCTGATTATTTTTTTTCTTTCCTTTTCTATTCTTTAAAAGGCATGACATATAACTTAATGATATGGGGGACTTCCAGGGTGGAAATTCCCTTCATAGATGCAGATAGGCAAAACAGCCTTCAATTTATCATCTTAGGGAGGTACTTGGGACTAAGAGTGGTTAAGTCAAGTTAATAAGCTTTTATTAAGTGCTGAGAGTTGGAGATACAAAGAAAGACAAAAAACAGTCCCTGACCTCAAGGTGCACACAGTCTATTAGAGAGACAACCTGTAAACAATTCTATACAAATATGATATTCAAGGATGAACTGAAAATAAGCACAGCACTGGCACTGAAGCGGGGCTGGCAAAGGATTCTTGGAGAAGGGGGATTGTTAACAGTGTAGAATAAAGGGTTTGTTGAAGAAATTTCCCTCTTTGGGGAAACAACTGCTGATGAAGGATAAATACAATTCTGAATGGGCTACTTGAGTGAATGGGCGTGGAGAAAGAAGAAAAAAGAGGAAGAGAAAGAGGCTATCATAGGACCACAATTTGTCTGCCAAAAATCCCCTTTAGGAACTATGTATTCTTCTGTTCCCTTTTACAAGTTCTGCTGGAGAAATCTTGTCCTGGTCAGGTCCATCCCATTACCTCCCAGCCCCCAATGTTCTTTCTTATAATCTTGCTGCAGAATACCCTGTTCTGCTCTATGTAAAAGATACCTCCCTCCTAATCACAGCCCTGATTATGCCGCAGGCCCTGATTTCTCTTCATTTCAGGGCCTAAGGCCCTCTCCTAGGTGCATTCCGTGCCAGGCTGGCAGTGTGGTACGGGGGAAAGCGCTGGGTTTGAATCCTGGCACTTGCTGTTACTTATCATCTGTGGGACTTGGGCAAGTCTGTTAGAGTACAAGCTTCCTGAGGGCAGGGGACTGTCTTTTCATTAATTGTATCCCCATGGCTTAGCTGGGTGCCTGGAACATAGCAGGTGCTTAATAAATGTCTATTGGATTATGGGATCTCCCTCGCCCTTGGTTTCTTCATCTGCAAAATGAAGGCATTGGACTTGATGAACTAGGTAATGAAGGTTCCCTCCAGCTCTGACTATGATATGTTGACTTTTTCCATCTCTGGATTCGAGGTCACAAACTTGGCCCCAAAACTCTACTCCCAGGCTGCAGAAACTGGAGCATCTAAGGGACTCCGTAACTACTGATGCCAGAAAGGTCTAACAGGAAGCTCTTTCCCCACTGCTGTAGGTAGCTAGGCAGTGTAGTAGATAGAGCACCAAGCCTGGAGTCAGGAAGATCTGGGTTCAAATCCAGCCTCAGATACTTATTAGCTGTGTGACCCTGGGCAAGTCACTTAACCTGTCTGCCTCAGTTTCCTCATCTGTAAAATGGGGATAATAATAATAGCACTTAGCTCCCAGGGTTGTTATGAGTATTACATGAAGGGCAGCTGGGTGGCGCAGTGGATAGAGCACCAGCCCTGAATTTAGGAGGACCTGAGTTCAAACCCGACCTCAGACCAAACGCTTACTGTGTGACCCTGGGCAAGTCACTTAACCCTGTCTGCCTCAGTTTCCTCATCTATAAAATGAGCTGGAGAAGGAAATGGCAAACCACTCCAATATCCTTGCCAAGAAAACCCCAAATGGAGTCATGAAAAGCCAGACACAACTGAAATGACTGAACAACAAAGCAGCTGAGTGTCACAGTTGATAGAGCGCTGGACCTCTGCTGAAATCAATTTTATCTCCAGGAATGGTGGTGGCAATGGCCCCTGTCTAGAAACAGCCTTAGGAAACAGTGAAAGCTTAGCACAGACAAAAGATCTGCTCCCAACCACCACACTGCTCAGCCTAGGAGCTCAGTGTGAGCTGGACTCAGATAGCATCCCTGCCCGGTCTACGCTGGCCTTTACAACAAATACAACTGAATCTCTACCAAAAGTAGAGCTCAGGGCCATGCCTAACTCTGCTCTCTTATCCATAGTAGGATCCGATCCCAGGACTCTCCCTTAGGCCAGAAAGAGGTAGAGATAATCTCTTTGCAAAGATATCATCAGAGGACTTTGTTCCCCTGTCATTCTGTATTAGAGAAACTCTACCAATCTCTGCACCAGCCCTCTCCTAATCCAATTAGCACAATATACAGGAAAAAGGTATCCTGATAGGTATTTCTGGCTCATCTGGCAGGCAGCACTAGAGGCTGGCTGTGAGATATCTAGGGGCCCCTTGGGGCCTCATTCTGGCTCCAGGAGGGAAATGCCACATCCTAGCTAATTGGTGCCTTGGGACACTGATATGAGGTCACAGAGAGCCATTTGGATTAGTCTACTGCTAACTCCTTCCTGTCCCAGATTTGGCTGGCCTTTGACTAACTGTTGGAGTTTTAAAGTAGAGGAGCACATCAGTTACTTGGGGTGGTGGGTACACCGCATCATTTTCCTACAGGGAGGGGAGCTGCTTCCACGGAGTCCAGGGTTGTCAAGGGGCTACCAAGATAGTCTCAAAATCAATTGAAAATTCTTGTGAACTTAAAAGGCTTAGGATCCTAGATGATGATGATAATAATAATAGCTAGCACTTATATAGTGCTTTAAGGTTTATAAAATACTTTACAATTACTAGCTCATTTTTATCCTCACAACAATCCTGCAAGGTAGGTACTTTTATTATCTCTATTTTACAGATGAGGAAAGGGAGGCAGAAAGAGGTTAAGTGACTTGCCCAGCAAGGTCACACAGCTGGGAGGCAGGATTTGAACTCAGGTCTTCCTGACTCAAGTCATCTACCTACAAAGTCTCTCTCTCTCTCTTTTTTTTTGGTCTTCAGATAAACCTTGCTGAAGCTAAAGGTAGAGTCATTCTGTTGACCTCACAGAATAGTTTGAAGATAGGAATAAAATGTTTCAGAAATAGTCTCAGGGTTTCCCTTTATTGTTGTACATTGTTCTACAACACGTTGGAAAACCATAAAGGCCATTCAAAATGGTAGGGTCACTAAGACCCAAGGGGAGAGAAAGTGAGAAACACAGTTGCTGCT